GTGCCTCTACTCTTGCTCGGGGCATCAGAGGCACTACCTCGCTGTCCATACATCAATGTATAGGTCCCTTTTATGTAACAACAGAGTAAAAAAATAGAATTTCTCCTAAATAATAAAGTAATGTGCCAGTTGTTGCTATTATTTGTTAGTTTATTATGCTATATATCGTTTAGGTGCTGCGGTTATAAAATAAATTCATGCTCTGTTTTCTCTCTCTTTATCTCTTTTAGGGTTGGTGTAATTTCTCGTATTCCAGGAGGCAGGTCTTTAAAAATGACTTTTACCGGACTTGTGCAGGGACGTTATGTGACTGTGGCTCTACCTGGTTCAAGAAAGATCCTTACACTCTGTGAAGTGGAGGTCTACGGGTACCGTGCCCCAACTGGTGAGAATTTGAGCTTATCACATGATTACATATGAGGCTGAAGCCACACGAGATGGGATTATTTAGGTGATAATACCTATTCAGCTGCGGTCACACCAGAAGTTGAGAGATGAGATATGACACACATGCAGCCCAAGATTTGGCACGTATAGGAAAACTTGTGATACATAAAAAATACACAGAAAAAAATAAAAGAGAATAGAATAGAAATAGAAAAAAAACAAATAAAAGCTGTATACACTTTATACACCTTTCATTTATACAGATATGTGTGATGCATAATTACACAGATATTGAAAACACACATTATTCAAGCATTATGCTAAATATATGTATATACCATTGGAAAGGGCAACGATGTGAGAATAGTTGTGCATTTCAGGTTTGAGACATACACAGATTGGGGCCACTTTGTTCTACAGAAAGCATCAAGGAAAACTAGCTATCAGTGCTGATGTTTGCAACTGTGCCCATTGTGCAGGAGAGAACCTGGCGCTCCAAGGAAAAGCCACACAGTCGTCACTGCATTCTACAGGCATTGCATATAATGCCATAGATGGGAATCGTGCCAGCGCCTGGGCCCAGGGTTCTTGTACTCACACAGCCCACAACTTCAACGCCTGGTGGCGAGTGGATCTGGGCAAAACCCATAAAGTGTTTTCTGTTAACGTAACCTCTTATAGAGAGTCTTACTTACGACTCAATGGAGCTGAGATCCGAATTGGAGATTCTCTTGAAAACAATGGCAACAACAATCCCAGGTACTTCACACAAATACAGTACTATACCTTAAAGTTTGTGATTAATAACCATATTTCTTAAAATATTATCTTTAAAACTCCAGTATCCATTCATTTTAATAACCATTCTATGAGTTAAAGTAATTTCTTCTTCTCCTGTAGGTGTGCCGTGATCTCAGGCCTCACTGGAGGTTTCACTGGGAACTTTGCGTGTAACGGGATGGACGGTCGCTACGTTAACATAGTCATTCCTGGAAGGACCGAGTACCTGCTCCTGTGTGAGGTGGAGGTTTATGGCTCCAGGCTGGATTAGGTTCTGAGGAGGTTAAATTTATATAACAATTGCACATGTTTAGGCTCACTATCATCCGCTCAAGCTTCACTGTATTCATTGCCATCATTAGAGACAGCAGTGATATGCTTCAAAGAACATTAAATCTGCAGTAATACATGTTTTACCACTAGGTGGCAGCAGAACTCCAAAACAAGCTGACATTTGGAGTTGCTTTGTGTTTGTGTTGATTTTTTTGTGTTGAAAAGTATTTTTATTAGTTTAGATGTCATATTGTTTAAATATGGAGAGAACGGAGCACATTTTCAGTCTTTCCTGGAAGACATTCATTGTGCTGCACAAACTTATTAAACTGATGGCCTTACACCCTACTGGTGTGTAAATAATGAAAACTCTATAACTGTGCATCTAACTTTTTTTTTTATATGAATATTTCATTTACCCTTACAGTGACAGTGATAATTATGCTGTGATTGTATATAATATTATACTGTATATATATACACATGATTTTGTACACATTTTGTATTTGTTTGGGTTGTATTTTATTTTGTAAAGCTGTTGCCAAATTGTATTTTGACTGAGATTAAGTTTTCTATTTCCAGTTTTTCTTTGTACTGTCACTGCCTACAGATGAATATTAAATCACCTTTGCTGAAATACATTGAAACTATAAAAATAGCCTGCCATGTCTTTGTTTTGGAGCAGCTTGTAACATGTATTATCTCCTAAACTCATTCTGTTGTTGAAACAAATATTTTTATTCAGTTCAATTTAACTTTATTTATATAGCGCCAAATGATAACAGAAGTTATCATGGCACCTCTTCAAAGTGAGGGCCGGGGCATAAAGATATTATGAAATATAATTCATAAAAATACAACATATAGAAACCATATTGCATGCAGGAATTTTAATCATACTAACATGTTCGGTCTAACCCAATCCCTATATAGAACTGCACAAAAATCATTCCACAGGCAACTGAGACAGTTGGGAGAGGTCTATTCTTTTGACAATGAAAAGTGATTAGTACATAACAATAATAATAATAATAATAATAATAATAATAACAGGTAAACTGCTTCAGAATATTACATATGGAACCTTTAAACTGTGTTAAACTTACAACAGATTTGTGAAAAATACGGATTATACATTTTTACCTGTGGTGAGCAGACGTATAAGTACAGTAACACAGTGGCCCTCAACCTGGGGGTAATAATCTGCTAATAATCTGATTTACATTGTCATCTTCTCTGCTCTGCATCGTCTGTAATTATTGCACACAGTATCACAACACCTCAGAGTGTGTTATCGCTGACTTATTACAAACTTGACCAAGTATCTGTTTATGGCCCGTTACTCAGAATAAGGCATAAGCACATTTTAAATTCAATAACGCTGTAATATTCATAGTTAGAGATTCAAGTACATTGGAGAGAGTTAGGTGTGTTTGTGTGTTTTCAAAGAGCAAAACAGAGAAGAGCATCTGATATGTTGAAACACTTTCAGGATATTTCAGCATTGCGCAAAGAAAAATCTGCAACTAAGCATTTTCAGTATTAATGGTTACTGTTGTCTCTTCCTGCCTACATATTAACTGGAATAAAGTCAGAGATATAATCGGGGGTCACTGGCTATAAAGGGTGCACCTAAGTTTTAGAGTCTACTTGACTTTGCACAATTCAAGCTGGGCTCTTGAGTAATGAGGATCTGGCTGTTGCAAAATAACCAGACAAACATCTGTGCTTGTCTGAAATGGTTGGTTATAACTCTGTGTTATACTCAGTTTATGAAGTGCAGTTATTCACCCATGCTCAACCAGTCCTCCAGCAGGCCTGCTGTAATTGTTTATTTTACTAAAGCCATATTCTGTAGAGACCAGAGCTGCCACTGAGGGTATACTTATTAAGTTTACTTAAGTAAATGGTGAATGGATCTCAAGATTGACACATGGACACATGGAGATATGTAGGAGAATTAGCATTGCCACTCGATAAAAACACTTTGTTACAAGTGCAAGAAACTCTTACATTTAAATTGTTTACCTAATATTATTAATTAATAAGTATTATCAAGTATTTTTAAAAAGTAGTCGTTATATTGTATTCAAAATCATAATCTGCAACGTGTTTTTTAAAATAAATACAATACAATACAATATTTCTAGTAATATAATATAAAATTGCATAACATGGACCTCAAGATTAGTAAATGTCTATAGTTACTTTCCACCACTTCCACTAAAAAAGAGGAACCTCAACAAAAAAAAGGCTTGTTTCTGGGAAATTAGTCTTATTTTTTGTCTAAAAAGAAAAACAATTTTGTCAAGCATGTGTTGCAATAAAAAAAAAGGTCCTGTCGTTGGTCCTTTCACTGATCCTGTCGTCGGTCCTCTGGTCCTCTAAAGCTGCCTCTCATAAAACAGCAGGTAGGCCGTTCTTTGACGCAGACAGACAGAATCGATGGCTGTCTCACTGACTGCCATCGTTGTAAGTCAGCCAACGACCTGTCATGTCACCCAGCTCCTGCTGTATGTGAGTGCAGTCACAAATATAAAAAAATAATAATAATTTTCAACACTAACCAGAATAAGCTGTGGAGCCCAAATGGCTGACGACGCTCAC